CACCCCCGCAAATCACGATACGCCGAGAAGAGCGTGTTTATGCTCAGCTTTCTGCACTTTTCAATGTCGCTTGTTCGTTTACTAGAATAGTTGCACAGGTGAGATCTTTTGTGCGTTTTTACCACCAAAAGCCATTATGATTCAGCCTCCGTTGTCTCTTCAAGTCTTAATTAACTGCTTGGCTGAATTTTTACTTGAAGTACAGAAAATGAGGGTTGGCATACTTCTTGACGATATGCCTGCTGACAACTACAAGGTTAGTTGATTCCTGTTTCAGTACTCTCGCGTAAGCTCCATTCTATGTTCTTTTCTGATATTGAGGTTTTTTTTTGCATAAATTCATCCTTTCTTCTACGAAAACATCAAGCTTTTAGAGCAACACAGTTTACGCTTATGCTCAACCAACGCAACGTAAAAAGCTGCCTGGCGTTTCAGACTCATCGATCGCGGTAGGCATGGTCAGAGGTTTGTTGTGATTAGGTTTTTCATTAGTTCTCTTAGCTCTAAGTCATCTGCTCAAAAGCCGCAACCCTAATTATAAGTTATAGCTCTAAATATTCCAGCAGGTCCGTCTCGGATTGATACACAGCAGAACCAAAATGGAAGTTGTTCCGTAGAAAATGAACTCTTTAACGCAACGTCAGTACGCGGTAGAGGCGTAGGTACGTGCTTCTATCATACTCACAAGAACCTTAGCTTAGTTTTGTACTTTTTGCAAGAAATTAGTATTTTTCTCTATCAGGAAGTCATGCAGAGGTTGTGGCCACTGCTAAACAAATTAACGGAATGAGCATAAGAAAAAATGCGGAGAAACGACTCACAAGCAGAGAAAATCCAACGAATGCAGCTAATTTATCTATACATTCAACGGAACACCAAGATTCAAGTAAAATTTCTTCTGAATAAGCTAAACTAGAGGAATCAATGTTCAACAGATTTGAATATATTTTTAGGCAAAAACGCAAAGAAGAAGCGAGGTTCAAAGCGTCGGTGATTTTTCTCACTATAATTTACATGCCCAAAAAACTTGTTTCATTGATGAAGTTATGTTTATGTTCTAGTCTCATTTCAAGTATTGCTACAGTGATTGTAAATGCTCCTCCTCACGCCTCATCGCATAAATTCAACGTGTACCAAGAG